CCCCGCCTTGCTGCCGAAGATCTGTCACGCCATCGCTGCAAACGCAAGCGCTGAGCTCACTGCATAACGCAATGGAGTGAGGACAAGCGCAATAAGTACAGGGAATAGTTGCGCGTAGGTATTTGCAAGAGACTTGGAGGCTTCGAAATCGTCGTTTCCGATAAGTCTGACAAACTTGTCAAACTTGCGTATTCTGCTGCTGGGCCCGGCTGGGTCTCTGAGAAGACAACGAGTCAGTGTGGATGCGGCAGAGCATGGCTGGGTGATTTTACAGTCTATTTACAACGACTATAGTCATTAAGATATACCGTGCTCATCCAGGGCTCCCGGATATGCTGTTTCTCTCTTGCTATAAACTTCAACCAGTGTCTCACAGATTCACCTAACAGCGACTAAATTGCTATGTCCCCTGATCTGCCTAGTCAGTGCAGTGCTCAGGTGCAATCTTTTGCCACACATGGTACCTACGAGTATCAGACTCGATGCTGAGTGTGCTTGAATTGTAAATGAAGCATTGAAGCTTACGGGTGCATGTAGCGAGAACCTCTCTGCATTTCTAGCTACGTGTAACCGTAGAACGGGTTTGTTGATGCAATGGACGCTCAGAGGAAACATGCTAATTAGCAAAGCCATCTGAAAGTTCCCATCATGTACTCGCAGAGGTTCTGCGATGCTACCCGATGTGTATCTGCATGTCTCTTTGTATACAACTGTGTATGTATATTCGTATTCGCGTCAGTCGATGGTCTTCGTCGTGTTTTCCACGTGCCTTGTGCATGTGCATGGGTGCGCATGCAGGCAGGTGTCTAGCCGTTTTCGTGACTCACATCGTTTGCTACTACCGTGGGGTTTACAGCTTACAAGTTCAGGGATTAGGCTAGGCTTAGGCTTCATCGGCAATCAGACTATAAAATACCTCGACGTCCCTGAACTACGCCGTGTCTTGCTTCGCTGCAGTGTCCTCCCGTGCCACGCAGGACGAAGCATCTGCCCGTCGAGCAAGTGAAGCTTTCGGGTGGGAGACCTACCAAACTAGCTGATCGAAAAGCTTCTTCTGCTACGTGCCACTCTTGGCGATGCTCGGTACAAATCAATCCCTGAATCAGTGACCCAAGCCGAAATTACAGAGGTATTTGCACCAAAATGACCTGTTTAGACCGTGGCTGCTGATAGAAGTACGGCATGCGGCCGATGTTCAACAAAAGCTTAGCCTCCCTGTCACCTTCTGGCTGCAAGACATCCCGACGAAACGTGGTAGTCTTCGATCAGCTCTCAAACAGCATGCAGCAGGCAGCTGGCAGGACTCAGCTGCTTAATTCCAGGCTCAAGGCCTACAATCCCAAACTCCAAACCCAACGGGAAACTTGATCTTGGGACATGGGCTTGCTACACTGTGAAGTCGTTCGTTCTGTGGCGAACATTTGTCGGCCGGGGCGGACGAGCTCGAACTTGATGTCTGATCACAGGTATACAGAAACAAGCATCGACGGTCTCATCTCTGTTGTGGATGGGGTGAGGGTTGTAGCAGGAACCAGCGCGCGTAAACCCTAAACCCTGAATCCTCAAGCCCGTAATAAGAGGCGAGTGCAAACCACGTGTTATAGACGCAGTTCCTGTTACATGCCCCCCGGTTGCTGCTACCAGTTACAGAGGGCCTGGTTTTTGACCAGTTTCGAGCCAGTTCCTGAAAAAAAATCCTGTTACAACCCACTGGTTCAGGTTACGGCGTTTACTCATGTGGATGCTACAACTGCTAGTTTTGTCTGGATATGCGCATATAAAAAGCAGTATCAATATGAACGTAAGCAGACATGTACATAGGATAAGGATTTTGAGTATTTCATTTGTTAATTTCAGACGTAGTCATATGGCTTCGGACGGCCACCGGTTCGCAGTTCAGGACAGCGTTCCGGCTTCCATGAAGTTGCGACTATACTCTTCCTCTTGGAAACTCCGGAACCCTAAACCCTAAACCCTTAAACCCCTAAACGCCTAAAATTGTTCCGCTCATGTCTGGCTCATTGCCCACCCCTGAGCAGCGCAAGCCGTACTGTCGGGTCTAAGGCCTTTGGCGTTTGGGTTCCGGGTTTAGGGCTTTAGTGTTTAGGGTTGAGGGTTTCAAGGTTTCAGACTTACAAGACAAAAAAGTATTGCGACAGGAGGGGACACCAACAGTGAACTTGGGTCTTGACATCGGCGCAGACCTTGTTCAGAGCTGCATGGCATGGTGCGGAAACACTTTGGATTTCTGCAGTTCAGGGTTGAATGCTCAAGGCTTCGGGGCGAATGCTTTCCTGGTATTCAGGAGTTGGATATGCTGGAGAACGGCTTGACATGGACCAGTCCAGGACTCAGCTCCTGTAGAAAACGAAAGAAACTCCAAACCAAAATTCGCAACGTGTTGATGGGAATGGTATGAATATTGGAGTCAGTTACCAGTATGAGTATTAGTAGTCTTGGTACCTGATAATGGCAGTGTTCATATATTGGTAATATTATATATAAACTTACTGTTAGCATATCTTTAGTAGGAATGCTCGTATTCATACTAATCGTAATGTTAGTACATACATACATACATACATACATACATACATACATAATTACATATATACATATATAACTTGGAATCTGGATTAATTGCCGTAAAGTATTAGTTTCGGCTTTAGTCGCACCGGTGCGCCTCACCGAAGCTCAGCTTTGATCTGGAAGGCCGGCGAAGCGCATGCTGCGGCGCTCTGTCGACGGGCCTTTCTGGCGATCGAAGATTGGGGTTTAGGGACCCCTACAGTGGTATTTGTAATTAAATATTTAGGCCTCTATATTAGGGTTTAGGGGTATCAGTATGAGGGCCTTGATAGTTAGAATGGGGTTTTGGCCCATTGTACGAGAATTAACATAATAAGGGACGCAAAAATGGTATTGGCAATTATTTAAGCCCCTATATTAGGGTTGCGGGTAAGGCCTTAGACCCTATAGCTCCGTCCCTGTACAGAATAATTGCATGCAAGGACTTGGGTTTCTCAAGGATCCGGCTTTGTTTTGCGAATACTGCTCTTCACTATTGCGAACCCACTACTGTTACACAATGTCCTCTACTAACTCCCTCCTGCTTCTAAGTCTACTCCCACTCCCACTTCTACTCCTATTCTCACTGCTTCTCCTATTTCTTCTACTCCTAGCAGTTTGTAAAATCATGTTCTTACTGCGATAACTAGCAGACGGAAATTTCTGATGTTATTGCTATTGATCGCGCGACCAGTCGTAGCAAATTGTGCTAAAGTCAGTCGTGCTGCCGATGGCCCAAATCCTGCAGAATCCGCAGCCAGAATACACGACCACTACGATGGTTTGGGATATTTGCTGCAATGCAGGTCCATGCAGCACTGCTCACCAGCAGTGAGCCCAGACCTCGAAAAGGCCTAAACCCCAAAAATCCAAACCCTCGGCGAGACCCTGACATGCAACACCTTGAGCCTATACCCTAAAAACCTCAAGCCTGCTAAGCCTCACAAAGCCTCGAACCCTGAGCCTTAATGCAAAAGCCCGTAAAGACTGAGGTCCGAAACCCGCAACTCACAATAGTCGGGCCCTGAACTCAAACGGGATCGAGTGCCGCACTCCTCCGGGGCTCTCGAAGCAAAAGAGCCGGGTCCCTACCGAGAGCTTGCGGTTTTACAAAAGTCTGTAACATCGACTTCGAAGTTTCTAAAAAATGCGCCGTACAAAGGGTTCTTTACCCATAGGCTCCATAGTAGTTCCTTTTCGGGATCACCCTATAGGATTCTATATATGAACCACAAAATGGAACTGCTATGGGGCCTTAGGGTAAGGGCCAGGGAAGCCTTCCGTTTGATTACTTGTCGAGGCCTTGGTGCCTTCTTCTTGGCCTCGGCTTCGGAAGGAAGATGTTGGGTGTAGGGTTTGGGGCGCGAGGTCTAGGGTGTAGGGCAGGGTTTAAGGCTTGGGATTGTTGTTTCATGCGATGTTGGGTTGGAAAAGTCAAGCCTGAAGGGTTTCTGCAGAACGATGGCAACATTCTCCGCACATGAGTCCATGCCGCTTAAAGACTTCACCCTCAACCGTAAACCCTACTGTAAACCCTGTAAACCCTAAACCCCACTGTAAACGCCAAACCCTTGTATCAACCCTAAACCCTAAACCCACTATCAACACTCAATCCTACTACCAACCCTAAACCCGCCTAGCCTTTGATCAACCCTAAACCCTAAACCCACTATCAACACTCAATCCTACTACCAACCCTAAACGCTACACCCTATTAGCCTATGTTCAACCCTAAACCCTAAACCCACTATCAACACTCAACCCTACTACCAACCCTGAACCCTACACCCTATTAGCCTATGTTCAACCCTAAATCCTCAACTCCGAAACCCTACTGGGCCTCTGGCTTCTCCTGAGCCCTGAAACCACGTAAGCTCAAGACTTGAAGATCAGTTTAGGGTTTTGGAAGATTGGGGTTTAAGTTATCTCAAAACTTGAAAAATCAAAACTGTTTAGAAAGCTTAGGGTTTAGGTCAGTTTAGGGGTTTAGCGGAGGAGCCTGGAGCTTGCAGGGCTTTCAGGGAATACGCATGGCCTTCGAAGGGCCAAGCGATCCTAACGATCCTGGACCTGACCAGCATAACCCAATACCCCGTAACTCCTCTAGCCCCTTATAAAGCCCCAGAACGTCGCAGCCCAAGAACAAGTCGATTCTATGGCAGACCTTCAAGAAGGGAAAGCTTGGGGGGCAAGGTATCGTGTGGAGTTCAAGAAATGGAGTCAGAGGTTCCGCTTGTGAGGTTTGGTTGTTTCAGCATCCAGTCAAAGCGGCTGGCATCAGCGCTGAAATGCTACTATAGGGGCCTCAACAATTCGAATAGGGCTTTTGGGCCCATTATACGATAACTATATTTGAAACACCAAAGTAGAACTGGTAATTATTTGGGCCCCTGTATTAAACTTCTGCATCCCGGGTGTCACTTTGGGCACCCTCAGCCGCCCCCCTCAGCTCCTGATGGGTGCAGGGCTCTGCTTTGAGAAGACGACGGCTCAACCCAGAGGCTCCAAAGTAGTTCCTTTTTTGGGGGGTACCTTGTAGGATTCTATATATATATATATACATATGTGTGTATATATATATACATATGTATATATATACATATATATATATATATACATGTACATATATATATATATATATATATATATATATGAGCTTTAAAAAGGAACTACCATGGAGCCTTAGGGTACTTTCGATGTGCAGGTAGGGTTTTGGGGTTCCGGGTTGCTACTTCTAGGGTTGGTGTCTCGGCTTCGCTCCTGTCACTGCTAATCCCAAACTCCGGTGAATGCCAAAGCTGAGATGAAGGGTGCCGAAGGCGTCCTAGCTGCTAATCTGCTAATCCGGAGCCCCACCCCTCTGCGCAGCGGGCCGTGCGGAAGTCGACGGGTGTTTGGAACAAGCAGTCGGAGGTCATTGCTCTACATGGGAACCTGAAAATGCCTCCCGACAATATTCAGCAACCACTCACCTGGGCCACGAACGCTGCTGAACTCCAACTGTAAAAACAAACGACAACCTATCCATTTTACACACAGGATTCAAGACGCTTCCGGGCCGTCCTGAGCCCACCACATGGGCGGTGAAGGAGGTTGGGCAGTTGGAAGTTAGCACCTTGATGCCCAGCCGGACTTCCGCAGAAGAACAACAGCCTACACCTGAAAGCGACACCGAAGACATGCGAAAAGAAGAATGCAAGCAAGGAGAAATGCTGGACCTACCCAGCTGAGCTACCCAACCAGCTAGCACCTATCTACACACCTGCCGACCTGCTTGCCTGTCTGCCTGCTTGACTGCCTACTTACCGACTGACCTACCTGACTACTTAGTGCCTCATTCCTGACTAGCAATCTGCGAATGTACTATGTGCAACTCCTTAGCAGCAACAGCAGCAGCAACTGCAATAAAAAGCAGCGGAATTGCAACGACGACAAAGACAGTCAGCATATCTACAACAACGATGAAAGCAGCAAACAACACACAGCCACAGCCGATACATCGACATGTCATCAGTGCGCATGCCATAGGGCCATAGGGCTTCGTCCCTGGAGTTTGATCATGTATTTAATAGGTGGGGGAATTTTACGGCTTCGCGGGCTAGGGTCTACTGTAGGGGCTTAATAATTAGAATAGGGTTCTGGGGCCCATGTTACAATTATTGTTATAATAAGGAACCCCAGAATAGTGTAGGTACTTATTAAGGCTCCCATAGTAGGGAGTCTAGGGCCCAGGGATTCAGGTCGGCGCAGCTGGGAAGTACTCCACATCTGGCAGCCGCGCGCTGCCATCCTCGAAGGCCTCACGGCGTCAACGAGCCATGCTGAAAATCGAGACTGAGAAGCCGGACAGGTTGATAGGATGTGGGTCACGTAATGATGGAACAGATCGCACAACAAGTTGCTATCCTGTCCTGGCGACAAGGCTACACGAACACATGCCAGGCAGCTTCACGACAAAATACTGAACTGGTCGTCAGGACGACCAGAGCCGTGGGTTTTGTCTCGCATCCCTCCTGCTAGCCGACCCTGCGCCTGGATCCAACTTATTACTTTCATCACTAGTTAGGATTAATAGTAAATGATTAGTATTAGCAGAGTCATTCTTAGTAGTAGTAGTAGTAGTAGTAGTAGTAGTAGCAGTAGTAGTAGCAGTAGCACTAGCAGTAACAGTAGTAGTAGTAGTAGTAGTAGTAGTAGTAGTAGTAGTAGTAGTAGTAGTAGTAGTAGTAGTAGTAGTAGTAGTAGTAGTAGTAGTAGTACTAGTACTAGTACTAGTACTAGTACTAGTACTAGTAGTAGTAGTAGTAGTAGTAGTAGTAGTAGTAGTAGTAGTAGTAGTAGTAGTAGCCGTAGCAGTAGCAGTAGCAGTAGCAGTAGCAGTAGCAGGAGTAGTAGTAGTAGTAGTAGTAGTAGTAGTAGTAGTAGTAGTAGTAGTAGTAGTAGTAGTAGTAGTAGTAGTAGTAGTAGTAGTAGTAGTAGTAGTAGTAGTAGTAGTAGTAGTAGTAGTAGTAGTAGTAGTATCTGTATCACTATAGTATTACTAGTATTACTCCTCATGTTTCCACCCAGCCCACTGCTAGTCCAACTCCAAGTTTCACAAGCAGGGGCTTCCATAAAATACCTGAGACCCCTAAAAGCCCTAAGACACACCACTGAAGCGGTTAAAAGCTTTAAAAGGGATACCGGGTGGACCCACGAACCCAACCCTGAACATCTAACACGAAGGCCCCCACCCGATGCACCCTGCATCATAAAGCTCCAGACTACGAGCCTGAAGCCCCAGGCCATAAACCCTATGAAGTGACCCGTGAAGACCGAACCTTCAGCTCCATCTCCTAGCACTCGTAACCCCGAATTACTCCACGGATTACGCACACCCTGAACCCTCCCCTGAACGCTACCCTAAGGCCCTAAAGTAGTTCCTTGTGTAGGTGCATATTTAGAATCCTATAAGGTAATCTCAAAAAGGAACTACTTTGGGGCCTATGTATAAGCCCTAAGATCCCGGGCTCGAAGCCTTAAATAAAAAGCCCCACGCAAGCTCGAGTCCCGAGCTCCGCACCCAAATGCCCAGGGCGCGTCGCTGGTCACGCTCACAGACGAACCTAAAATCCGGAGCAAAGTCCAGAAACACTGGCTTAGGGTTAGGGTCTAGGGTTTAGGGTTCAGGGATTTGGGTGTTGAACTCATCGGCTGCCCTTTTTGAGGATCCCCATGCAGCAACTGGTGCTTAGGAGCTTACAGTGTAGGATCGGGGAGGTTGTGGAGTGTGGAGATCAGGGTTTAGGACTCCCCAGGCTCCCCAAACCCTAAACCCTAAACCCTGAAGCTTTAAACCCCTGAACCCTGAAACTGCAAAAGCCCTAAACCCTGGAACCGTAAAGCCTAATTCCAAAAGATCGTTGACACGGAGGCCCCAGCAATTCTCCATCGGCGAACTCCACCGACCTCACGGCAGAGGGCTTCAGAAGTAATATAGGGACTCAATAATTAGAACAGGGTTTTGCGGCATGTTATAGTGTAATATTGCGGAGGGCACCACTAGTGAATACTCCAACCCCCAGCATCCAGCATTCCGGCGACACCTGAATCGCAGAGTGCTCCATACCGCTAAACTGTGACCCTAGAGAAAGTCGCAATGTTATAAAATAAGCTGATGCAGAATGCTGAAGCAATGAATTCAGGGACCTGAACAATTGGAATAAGGTTTTGCCGTATACTAGAACATGAGGACTATACCGGGGGGGGGAGGGTGAGGTATTATGACCACTTATCTTAAGCCCCACGTAGAGCTCTCATCATCAAGGAACCTTTTGTAATACCAGTCCAACTACAGCGGCTCTGGGGCTCCACCCCCTGAAATGAAAGAAGCCTTTAAACCCTAAAGCCCGAAACCCAACCTCATGTTCAGACAGCTAAGTCCTAAACCCTGAACCTCTAAGTATGGTGCCCAACCTCATATTCAGACTTCTGAGTCCTAAACCCTAAACCTCGGAGTATGTGGCAGCTGAGTTATCGGCAGGGTTTGGCCTTCATAGGCGTCGAGCTCGAACTGCTGATCTTCCTCCGGAGCTCCCAAAACCGTTTGGGGTTTAGGGTTCAGGGTTTAGGCTTCCGGGTGTAGGGTTTATGGTTCAGAGTTTAGGACTCAGGATCAAGGGAACTCAGTATGACAGAATAGTAGCGCCGCTATTCTGACATGAAAATTATGTCAGTCTGGCGATGGTACTAGACCATGTCAATATTTCGGATCATAATCATCCGCGATAGTACAGCCGCCAAGGCGCGACGATGGCAATGAGAGAAACGTACACCCTTTCTTGATGCTTGCGACTCAGGTTTCAGAGTTCAGTGGGTGGAAGATGGTTACTTTCGAAGGGTCCATGTACTCACACAGTCTATACTTTGGCCTTAGAGTAGTCCCTTGAAGGTACGTACTTTAAGACCGAAGTATATAATTACTGTATTTGGGTACATGGGCCCTTAGGGATAGGTGGATGCATTGGAGGTGTCAGCCCGTGGAAGCAATGGCAACCCATTCAACACCAGCCCTGGTCGGCAACATGTTGATCATGTGAAGTTCAGCAGGATACAATCATGTTCAGGGTGTGGGGTGTGCAATCTGCACTTATGCACATGTTGGGACTCAGGTGCTTGGGGAGCCTAGCTCAGGAAACTTTCAGGCTGAATGGACTAGGAATTGGATGCCTTAATGCCCCAAGTCTTCAAAGATCCAAGGAGTTGGGAAACCCTTCACTCAAGGTCTAGGACACTTCCACCCCGGTATTACCCTGATCGCAACCTTCGTATTGAGCGTTAACAAAAGTACCCCTTGTAGTACTCCTGAATCCTCCTACTATGAGGGCCTTGATAATTAGAATAGCGTTTTGGGGCCCATTATACAATACATACAATAAGGAACCCCCAAAGTAGTATAGGTAATTATTAAAGCCCCTACGTTACGCCCTGAACTGCCATCCTGCGGATCGGAGGTGAACCGTTGTCCGCTCAAGTCCTTCGGGTACGATCGGAAAGCCCGAGCATCTGCTTCGCATTATCTCTCATCGTGTGTATGCTCACGTGTAAGATGATGGCAGCGGCCGTGGTGATGTTAGTGATGCCAACGAAGATGATGAAAGTTGAACATAGGCTGATGAGGAAAACTGCGATACACTGCTCGTGATCAAAGCGATGATGTTGTTGTTGTTGCTGCTGATGATGATGATGATGATGCCGAGGTGATGATGATGCCGAGGTGATGATCAGGATGGTGACGACATGACGATGATGATCATGATGATGATGATGACGATGTTGTGGATGATGATCGTGACGCTGCTGTTTATAATGCTGATGGTGCTGGTACGGTGACTATGGCGCCATGAATCTTTGCTGAGTTTGACCTGCACCCCACTGCTTTTAGGTGAACTCTTTTGCGGGTCTGTTTCGTCGGTGCACTGGAGCTAATTAGCGTGTTCATGGTGCAAAAACTTAAATGCTGCGACGCCCTTTAGCCATAACATGCGCAGCGCTGTGGTGCACACGTTATGACTCGGTACTGGGGGGTCATGGTTGGAGTAGTACCTTCACCATCATGATAACTTTGTCTGCTTTCCTCGCTTGTTGTCGACGCACTACTATTCCTGAGACTTTGCAAACTCAGTATCAAGACTACTGCCAGCGTGTTCGCACAAAAATATCAACGAGGTCAATCCGGCCATTGCATGAGCTGACCATGCACAGCACGATTCAGGCAGGCACACGGCTTCGGGAGTGGGCCGGTCCTTGCTATAGAATGATGACGATGATGTTGATGATGATGGCGCTAATAACGACGGAAAGCAGACTGCAGCAGTACTAGCAATAACCGCGTGGACATACCCAAGCTCACAATGAAAACTGCAGCTCTAACGGTAAGGCTGACCATCATGAGAATAAGAGTACTACTACCCCAATCACATGCACGATCATCACGAAAGAAAACAAGGAGCATTGATGCAATAACAGGAACAAGAACACGACTGAAACCTTTCTCGACAAAAAGATATTCTCGATGCAGCCAATACTGCGTCTGGACTGTTAGTGCAAACAAACCTAGCGATCTTTACACAAACCTATCGATCTTTCGGAAGTCAAAGAGGCTACGGGAGGGAGCGTTTAGTGTTTCAGCTGCTCTTGCAAATCTGAATGAGAGTAGACATGCCACAGCAGCCAAGAGAGTCACTATCCGAAGGCCGGGCACAGGGGGCTGCGCCGCTGCGTGCTAAGCCAAACACGCTGCAGTAGCAGGGTCCTCGATTTCGGCGTTGTGGGGACACGCTATGATGCGCCAGCGTGTGCGCCGGTAGTTCAGATGGAAGATGAAGTAAAAGCCAGTGGTCTTGCAGTCCTGGCTGTCAACCCTCGATCCCACACCATAAAGCCTACAGCTCTAAACCATTCTAAACCCTAGTATCACACCCGAGGTACCCGGTCAAGCTGAGGTACGACTATATGGCAGTACACCGTGTGCACTCAGCGGAACCTTCAATGTTCTTCATGACAAAAACATCACTGGATGCAACACCATCCCTCGCGGAACTTCGAATATTTGACAGATATTTCAGAGAGTTCAAGCCCTAAACCTTTAACCCTGTCTAGAGATTCGACTCCTTGTAGCCAGTGAGCACCGCGTCGTGTCTCACCTAACAGTTTCACAACTGTTTCAAATCTCGCAGCAGATGCAAGGATTCAAATTTTAGGTCAGGGTTTAGGGCGGACGGGCCTGCAAACATGCCTCCGTCTTCTGATCTGGAACAGTCCCTGAACTCTAAGCTCTAAACTCCTAAACCCCAAGCAAAGATCCGAAATCATACAACCCTTAAGCATTAAGGGTTTCGTATCAAACCCCAAACATGCCGGTGACAGCCATTCCGAGGACTGCCCTGCCAGGACATCAACGTACTCCCAACGGATCATTTGAAGCTGGTTAATGTAGGGAGCCCAAATTAGTTATAAAAAATATACTGCGATTGTATTACGGAACCCCCCAAAGTAGCATTGTTCATGATTTAAGCCCCTATGTTGACTGTTACCAGTCCTCATGCTTTGGCCTAGGCGAGTTGCTGACCGCTTTCGAGTTCGATGCGCCCTACAATCCCTATGGACGGTTGAAGTATACCAAGGTTTACGATATGAGATGATTTAGGCTACGTGGCTTCCATATCATGGTGGTCACTGATCCCGATATAATTTTGGTATACTAACCCTTATAGAACACCCACAGAGGCGTCTTATTACCGGCCCTTTTAGGACGAGCTTTCGGGCTCAGGCCCCAATGGACAGGTCCCCCGACGACTCCAAGCGCCACCAGCCAGTTGATGGTGTCGGCCTGCTCTGCCCGACTCAACCTGCGCCCACTGCACAGGAATCTGATAGCTCGGATCCTCCATCTATCTAGCTAACTACCTATGTAATCTATCTATCTATCTACGAGTATCTGTTTATCTATCTATGTAATCTATCTATCTTATCTATCTATCGATCTATCTCTGCTGCTGCCATCTCTCTGCGTCTGTCTGTTTGTGTGTCCGACCCCAGCCCGAACAGACCGGCGAATGCGAGCCCACAACATGCATCAGGCATCAACTACAGAAGCATGATCGCACAAGGCCGGAACAAAGAAAAGCCCGGAAACCCTATTCCCTTATCCTAAACCCTAAACTACTCTATTAATGCCCTAAGCTACTCTATTGATGCAATTCTGCTGAAGTGCTCAGTGATGGACTTTGAAAGTCGTATACACTAGCACTGCGAGACTGTGTGCATATATGCCACAACAGCATTGACTCTGACAGTAATCCCGATAACTGTGCCAACAATACTATACATAATAAGACTTATCTGGACCAAAGATGTGGCACCGAGCAGTGAGCATTTTCTCTACGGCTTCCTCGAGCCGGAAACTTCCATCTTCGACCGTACAGTCTCCAACTATCCCTGAAGCCCAAAGACACCACCATTGAACCAAAAACCCTAATATAGTGGCCTCACTACTTAGAATAGGGTTTTGAGTATTTTATACTACAACCATGTAATAAGGAAGGAACCCCCACAATCGAATTGGTAATCATTTCGGCCCCTATATTCGCATCATTGAGCAGCCCCTGACCTTAAACCCCACAACCCCTGCATCACAGCTTTGACGACCTTTCTTGGAAAGTTTCCCTTGCTGGGTCGCCGGGCTCTGCGTAGTCGTCTCCGAAACGGCTTCGGGGACCGCCGGTAAAGGTCACATCCAGGCGAAACCTGGCTTGCGCTCGCTCTCAAGCCCTACAGCTCGACGAGTTGGTCAACAATCGGTTTACGGCTTAGGCTAGCAATCTTACGGGTATTTCGTCTTGAGTGGCGAGTGAGGGCTCGTAGGTGGTCCTACTTAGTCTTACTTTGGCGGGACTGCAGGTTTAGGCGACGTTTCAAGTTTAGGCTGCCGGGGAACATTCGGATTCAAATCTTGGAGATATCCGGATGTGTCATGTTTGGCACGCAAATAAACAAAATGCAGGTGGCGAACCTGTAGTACAACCTCGAAAGCTCTAATTTGTCTAGAGTTTGGAGGCTAGAGTGTGGGATCAGGCTGCAGCCCTTCAACCTTAAAATCTCGGACGGTTGGCAATATAGGATCGTGGGTTCAGTGAAGTAGACTACAGCTTGGAGATGTGTGGGGTGCTTTATGATGACTGACCAAACTTTCGGTGATGACTTTCGATAACCGTACACCCCGGAAACCCCAACCGTAACAAAGACCTCTTGACTTCGCAAAGCTTGCTCGGCTCTAGGTGTAAGGCCGGGACTGTGGAATCTTAACATCTCGTATCCTGAATCACAAGACCCGAATCGCCGAAACCATAAACGCTGAAGTCCACACACTCAAAATTACAAACCCTGTGGTAACCAGGAACTGCTTGGCAGACCTCGCCGAACCGGGCCGCTCGAAAGTCACGGCGCCCTTCTGCAGAAACCTGACATTGACAGGCTGTGATGCATGTGGGTCCTTCAAGACGCAAGGGGACGCAGCCTAAAACTCACATAACGGGATCCGTAGTAGTGAGGACCTACACCCTGAACCCTAAAACCCGAAAATGAAATCTAAATCCTGAAACCCGAAATCCAAATCTAGATTATTAAACTTACACCCTGAAGCCCTCAACCTAAAGATGGCTTTCAAGCCCAGCTCAGCTTCGGGGGTGTGTATAGCTGTGTTTGCAGATAGGGTATACTATGATTTTAAGGGCACACATAAAGGAACTGTATTTCTAGGTATGATTCTGAATTCTATAGGGGAAGCCCTAAGGAACATCATGTCTACTATTTTCGAAATATTCAGGCCCTGATATGCTGGCATAATTTCGGGGTGCGGCACTCAGTCGAACGCATCCGTGAATGCTGCACACACTGTGCAGCCTGCAATCCATCATATCCAACAGACACCCTAACCCGAAAACCATAATCCTCAAACCCCGAGCCCGGAACCCCAAACCGTGAACCCGTAAACCCCCAATCTCGAATCCGAAGGACCAGCTTTTGTCCTTGCCCTCCACCTTGAAAAGGCTCACATCAGTCTCATCCTGACACGACATGAAACGAAAGATTACTCTAAAGGTTTTTAGGCTTTAAGGGATTCCGAACTGACTGAAGTTACGGACCAGGGATTGTCGGAAAGGCGAGGGTTGAAACACTTCCAACCGAAAGAGACGTGTTTCGGTGTGTGGTTCGATGTATCGACCCGTACATGTTTGAATGAAGCCCTTGATAGCCCTTGCGACTGTACCAGACGACCTCTCCTGCAGCACCTCCGGCGTAATCTGACGCACCTGACACAAAGGTGAAGGAAGCTGCAAATCAGTGTCAGGAACGATCTTGGATCTTGGTGTATGAACGCTCGCAGCCGCAGCAAGCAACCCAATTCCGACAATTAGTGATATTAGTGGGCAGCGAGCGAATATACTGCACACCACGCCTGCCCGCGCAGCGGCTGTCGTGGTGTGTCGGGGGCGCCCTCTGGAGCAGGAGCATGCAGGAGGCATCCGCCGGCTGTGTTACTCTACATAGTTCTGGCAGCATCTTATTTCGCAGGCCAATGTCGTCCAAAGTGCAAGCACGCCTAGTGCGAGCAGAAACTGTCGAATTGCAGGAACCCCAAAGAAGGTATGATGCCCCTGTGCATTCCAGATTTTGTAAACTGCAAGCCCAGTGGACCTCGGCGGGCACCAACTCGGCCCATTCCTGAAGTGATGGCGCCTGAGAGGTGAGTAGTCAGCAGCGATATGATGCTGGAGGATGATTGCTTCACAGCAGGAGTGATTTTGGGATCCGATAGTCTGAGCTCCCGAAACCCCCAGCCATGCGCCTTTGGCCAAATCACCTTGACATTGGCCACATCTGCCTGCTCACGATGAACATGGAAGTTATTTCCGTGGTCAGACTGGTGCACGACAGTTCAAAGGGTCATGTTTCGAGTTCATCCAATGCCGTGCTTCTGCAAAAATCCCATGCTGCAGTGGAGCAAACGTTCCGAAACCCTCCAACTGCAAGTCACGGACACACACACATGCATGTGTGCATGTGTGCGTGCCGAGCCATGTAACAATGTAGCTGAGTTCCGTATGCCACAACTCAGCGAAGACCCGATCATAGCAATCATACCGCTCAACTGCGAGGGCTACGGCACGGCTCTGACAGATTATGCACGCCGTCCTCGTCCTCCGGATCGGAGATGAGCATGTCCATGGCCTCGGTGGAATCCCCTGAGACCCCAATATCCCTTAACTAAGGAATGTACTTTAAATCATCGTAGGACCCCTACAATGACTTCAGGAATATTCCTGAATTAAGGGATATGGGAGTTATTGGACTCTCCGGGCCTGCGGTTTATTCCAGATTGGCGTTATGCTTTTCTGTGCAGTCTAACGGCTTTGGGCTTTGGGCCTGACTAACACAGGGGCCCGACGGCTTACTCCATACAGTTTAACATAACTATAGAATCGAAACATGCGAAGTGGTAAGAAGCAGAACAGCATCCATCTGTTTCAAGCCTGAGCCCGAGGCATTCATTGCAGCCAGCTTCGGCACGGCACCACGTGATGCCAGCCAAGATCGATTTGAATAGGATCCCTCTGGGTTTCTTATCATAGCTATGGTACAACAGTAAATCTCAAAATGATATTCTACTTGTTAAGGCTCCTGCAATACCTTTCTGGCATCCTGGCGCTTCGTTTATCTGTGGAGAGGGGTTGCGTAGTTTGAGGGTTCATGCTCATGAAAGTGCAGCGAGAGGTGAGGGTTTGGGCTGAGGATTAAGCAACCATGGGCAATGATGGACCCTTCGCCGAGGCTCTTGAGAGAGAAAGCTGCTAACAACAGGTCTTTGCTGACGGAGAAGATTAACTGCAAGAGCTGGTAAGGTAGGGATCAGAGAAACAATGCTGTGCAAGCACAGCAGCCCAGCCGACTGCGCCTTACAAGCACTCTGGCATTGTCACACTGCCCCAACCCCTAAACCCTGAACCCTAAGGCCCCCCAAATCCAAAGCCAGTAGCTTCCTAAACTCTGGGACTGTCGATATCTGCCTCGGTAGTGCGCGATCCCGAGGCGGAGGAGGGCCTCCAATGCACTCCACATATCCATGTACATACTCTACGATAATATACCATTATTATACTGCATTACATTATAGTATATCATGTTTTACTATGCTCCGTCATATCATACTGTATCACACCATGTTATGAAAAGATAATGCGTTATATTGTACTAGATGATGTTATGACATAGTGTAACAAGTCAGGTTGCATGATTAACACTATATTACGTTATATTACATTGTATTACAGGATAATACGTTATCTTACATTAAGATATATTACATTATCATACATTCAAATATACTACATTCTTAAATTGGTTAAACACCCTTGTACTTTTGTATGTATATTTCGTTCTTTTGTATGATATGATGCGATATCATATCATATTGCATGATGTGAAATAGTACTCTATGATCTTTCATGATGTAATCTAACATAATATCGTATTGAATTATGTAGGAGTTTCCGAAAATGGGGGATCCTAATATAGCACCCTAAATAGTAGGATCCTCGTTTTAAGGACCCCAAAATAAGGTACCCATCATTTTCGGAAACCCCCACATGGTTTCGTAGTAAAATACATTACATGCACACACTGGGAGCCTCGTAGCCGTGAAACACCGCAAGCTTCACATACGAGGTGTTTTTTTTAAGTGCAATGGGGCCTTTTGGGGTTTTAGGCTTCTGGGACACTTGGCCCTACCGGGGATTCGAGACGAGCTCTGGCCTTCAGGGCTTTGGTTTCAGGGTCTCCATGGAGTCCTTTTCTGTTAGGGTTTAGGGCGGCTCAGATGGGCTTAGGGTTTAAGAAGTCAAGATAAGCGGGCAATTGCAATGGTAACGGCAGCAACGGCAGTGGAAGAAGCAGTGAAGATACTATGCATACATGGCCAGCAGCCCAGTGATGCTTTGCCAAGTCCATGATCCCAAGCCGTCTATGCCCTCAAAGCCCTGATTGGACCACCCCGTACACCCCAAACCCTGAAAGCTGTAAAGTCTAGACCGACTCTCGAGGCTATGCCTCTCAACCCCAAGTCTGAGAAAAAGAAGCAAAAATCTACTGGGCTCTTGTTAAGGGGTTTAATTTAAGTTACCATAATGAAGAAACCATAGTTACTATAGATACCTATTTTGGTAGCTTAGTTTAAGCTCCTTCACAAGAACCCAGTCTATAGACCCGAAATCTAAAAGTCACAAACTCCGCCTGGAGAGAGGAGCCTGCGCCGAGCCGGTCCCAAATCGACCGGCGAAGCGGCCTTACCAGTCAATATAGGTGCTGTAATAATTCCCTATACTATTTCGGGGGATTCCTTATTATAGCTATGGTATCATGGGCCCCAAAACCCTGTTCTAATTATTAAGGCCTCTATAGTAACCCCGGAGGATTTAGGTTTTATTGCTCAGTGTGACACGGGATCTAAGTTTTAGGGGTTCAGGCTTACATGGTGTTTAGATTACTATCACTTGACCTTAGGTGATTGAGGCAGCGAACTCGAGCTGATATTTGCAGTTTAGGATTTAGGACCTTAGGTGTTATGCATGGAAAGACTTGTTGGCGTGTAGGGCTTTAATGTTCAGGACTTCAAGAGTATTGAGGCTTACATGGCGCATAGTTTCACCTTTTGCGGTTCCAAAAGGTGGGCTGTAGGGTTAACTTGTGATGACAACTGCGATATGATCATGATTACTGGTAGCCAGGCGATCAAGGTTTTATTGACTATGCCTTTTCAGACTTGCCATCATACCAGCTTGCGGGAAATCATCGGCCACACTTGCTGACTCCTGTTGGCACTTGAATGATGCTTGCACACCACCGGGGTAGGTGTGCAGTGGGATTGCAAACTTATGTATCAGGCGGTCGACAATGGTTCTCTGTCAATCCTGCAAGATTTGCAGCAGCTTCTTTATCCACGTTTTGTCGGGATTTGCTACAGTCCCCATATCCCGAGCCCTACACCCTAACCTCTTTAAAGAAGCCGTGAAACGAACCCGGTTGTTACTCTTCTTAGTTAACATGGATGAGAGGTGCATCATGTCGACGGCTGAGGCCGAGACCGTCGCTTACGGCCTCGACAAGGCACGCCCAATCCCATGTCTTTGGGGCTTATGAGGGTTGAGGCTTCGGGTCTATGGACCCCAGGTAGTAGGGCGCTTACCCTTCCCCACCCAGGATTTTGAGTGAAGGATCCCATGGCATTGGAGCAGTCAACTTAAGGTAAACACCTGATTACTCAAGTCTCCCACAATAAGGTTATAAAAAGCGGTCCTTATCATTACCAACTAAATACTACGCCGCAGTAACTATGGCCTTTTGAGAGCGAGGGTGTAAGATTCAACGAAAGAAGGTCAGAAGTTTCAATGAGTCGGTCCTTGGCCACAAATGCCCAACAAACCTTGCGGTTTCAGATCCAAAGCACATTTTACGATGAAAGCTGACGAAGGAAAGGGGCTTCACATCATGTTTAGAACTCAATTCAACCAGCATCTGGGAGTTTCCGAAAATTAAGGGTACCTTCCTGGGGGCCCCTTAAAATAAGGGTCCTACTATTTAGGGTCCTATGCTAGGGTCCCCCCCTTTCGGAACCTCCCATATGGGCTTTTGAAGTTTAACACTGGGTGGTCTGTCGGTCTCCAGCGGTCAGGATTCAGAATGTGTATCTCAGGGCTGTGGCATCAGGTTTCCTGAACCCCAGAACCGGAAGCTCACAGCCCACGAAGAATGCACGCCCTGAATCTGAAGCACTAAACGCCGGAAGCAATATGATATACTATAATAATGTATAGTATCGTGATATGTAGTATAATATAGTATACTCTGGTATCATAGACTCATAGAGTACTATACTATAAACGATGAGACTGTGCGATTGAAACTCCGACTTCCCAGGCTTTGGATTCGACGTGGAAGCCTCCGGGCCGAATGTGAGATCTGGCGCCAGGTGCTGGCAGACGTACATCGGGGTCACCAGCTGCCCTGCCACGAGCTCGCTGAGAGGCGGATTCTGGGTTCGGGGTTTAGGGGTTTAGGGGTTTAGGGTTTAGGGGTTAGGGGTTAGGGCTTAGGGTTAAGCCCGTGGTTGTGATTTAGAATTAGCAGTTACTAGCAGACTCAGCTGCTTGCAGGCGTCGTTTGCGACTTCGTGTGGTGATGTGCAGCACTTCGACATTGCACTTCAGATTCGCTCATGCTTCGTGGCACTTCAGTGCTGGGGTGTAAATCATTGAACCACTTCAAGACCTGCATGTACCGTGCTGCATCGGGGATGCGGCTGCTATTGCTGCGAGTGTGGTAGTAACAATACTCCTTACGAGGCGACACCGACGACTGCCACTGCCACTGCTGATGCTAACTACTGCTATGATTACGCGTACCACCGCTACTACTACTGCTACTGCTATTATTACTACTGCTACTACTGCTGCTACAAGTGCTAGTTACTACTACCACTGCTACTATTACAACTACTACTGCTGCTGCTACTACTACTACTACTGCTGCTACTATTGCTACTATTGCTACTTCTGCTGCTACTGCTGCTGCTGCTACTGCTACTCCTCCTCCTGCTGCTGCTGCTGCTGTACAAAACCTGCTGCTTGACGGGGCTGCCTTCTAACGTCGAAAACTTTTCAGACACGCCGATTCCGAGCTCCGAAACCGGGTTGCCTGGGACGGGGGAACACTCCTGGGCTTACTTCATTCCCACCTGCCGCTCGCAGCTCTGGAGTTGCAGTCCCTGTAGGCGGGTTGCTTTGCACCTGTCTCAACAAGATGGAAGACGACTGTGTCTGTCATGTATTGCAAAAGTGCCGTGTGCACGGCATCACACAAGCTCGCGGTTTTCCACGTTGCAGGAACTGGTCAGCTTCGCGACTCCGGCAGTTTGGCGACTACATCAGTTTCGTCGCCGCCGGCGACAAAAGGCATTTTCTTGGATGCGCTAACTTTAGCAATAAGGCAGTCCTCCGGGCTGCCATTGGCTGCATACTCTTGATGCAGAGCGAAAGGAACATCGACGTGGATGCTTGGGAAGATGTTGCTGACACCACCGTGACTGTAGCTGTGAGAAAGCATGCCAGATCGATGGATCCGATCGGTCTTCGATAGATGGATACCTGGACGGGAAACATATGCAAGTCATGCATGTGCATCTGCTTCACCATCATTGTCCTGATCTTCATCATCGTGATCATCCCCACCATGTCATCATCAGCGTCATGATCATGCTTGCGACCGCTAACGGTAAAACGTTGATCATCGTCGTCGTCATCGTCAATAACGAAAAAAGCAATGATGTCGACGGCGATGACGGCGTTGAAAGCATCACTAACCGCTGGTGCGGTTCTAGTGCGAGTGGTGAGGATGATGGTGTTTTGACACGCATGATGGCGACTATACTAACATGACGGTTTTGATGATGATGATGAAGACGATGATGATGTTGTTGTTGCTGCTGCTGCTGCTTGTTGTCGTGGTTATGGTCGTTGTTGTTGGTGTTGTTCTTGATTATGATGAGTCGGTTCGCACTACGACGTGGACGGTGGTGAGGAGGGCGCTTGATGGATTGTTATTTGTGTGGTTGCTCACCGTTCCTAAGCAAATACTAGCTGCGGTGTATTCAACGGTGTTCGTCAACAATTGTTCTAATTGTTGAGCAAGAAAGAACAAGCGGGGCTTGAGTGACAACTTTAGCTGATAAGTCTGGCCCGAGGCACGGCGGCAAGGTCGTCTCAGCACTCTCTTCGATTCCATGGTGCTTCAGCATAACCGGATGTTTCGATTGATAGCTGTTCCAATGCCATATAAATGGTCTCCAGTGGAAGTGGGCTAAGTTGCCCTCTGTCGCTCGATCCGGCACATTGCCAGACGGCCGGAAATTGATGTCTGCCGCCCGGTGAGGCGGCAGGAAGAAGATCTTGCGACTGCTGCGATTTCCGAATGGTCCTGTCATGCGTCGCAGGTTTCTCTTGAAGCAGAGCAGGTGGGTCATGTAGTGGCATCCAAAATTGCCATCCTCACTGGGCTCAACAAATAAGTGCGGCAAGCACTCCGAGCTGTAATCCGCTCCTGTCTCCCACGCCACTATCTCCAGAATCGCTTCATTCATACTGGGTTGGTCACAATAGCAGCCACTCCCGATGAGCTGTAACGGCCAGCTGGTCTTGTCTAACATCAAGTCCAGAAATAACTTGCCCAAAGGCGAGCGGCGTACGAGAACCACTCCGCCGTTGCTATCTTCCTGCTCACTCGGATCTTTCAGAATTATCTCAGCTTCACTGGGGGCCATTGAGATAATTTTCTCGAGGCTTTCGTCAAAGCAACCTGGGCCGATGCTAACATCTCCTCCGTCCACAAGCAGATGCCACTCATACCGTCCGAAAACGTCCGCACCCACACGAACTTTTGTTCGTTTGTTGTTGAGTAAAGCGTCATGGTGGAGCATGCACATGCTGCTAAATGTCAGTGCGTTGAAGGACGTGCGCCAGTAGTGAAAGGAACTCAGTCCGGTCTCTTCGCAGCCCAGCCCCCGGATCGCACACTGCCGCGCCAAGTCTTTGACACGAACCCCTGAGCTGCACCTGCGATCTGTCTCGCTGTGAAAATCGCCAATTTGTTCCCGATACCAGATCTCGGTGTCGTTGGAATGCCTTTCTGTGTAGCACTGCCAGAGGCCCACGGCCAAGCGACAGTTCTTTCGAGTCCGATGGGCGCAGTTCGCCAGAACTCCAAATCGCTTGAATGCTGCCCGCCCTTCAGGGTAAGTAGCACTGTTCGCAGGTAGTATGTCCATAAACAGCGGATCTTGTTTCGGCTCCGCCTGTCCAGTGCTAGGCTGGAAGCTCAGCAGACTTTGCATCCAAAACTTGGGGCGATCAGACTTGCTGTAGTGATGTGCACATCTCTCACTCCACTTTAAATATCGGGCAAGGGCTCTTGGGGGTAAAGCCTTGCGTTCACGCAAGATGTAAGCAGGTGACCCGGCACGGATGTACAGAACCACTAGCTCGTGCAATGAAATTTCAGACAACACGCTCTGGCATGAGAAGAGATCTCGACCCACCCGGTTCTTCGCCGTCAACGCCGGAGGCCACTTCTGTTCATAATACTCGTCCGAAAATGGTGCTGGAGAAAGTTTCGGTGGGTTTTGAGTCTCTACTTCCAGCCCGCAGCAATCCATTGGATTCGTCAGGCTTCTGTTCTTCCAGCTGAGCCACCTCTTCAACTCTGCTGGATTTGGATACTCAAGCCTGCGGCTCGTCTGTGGCTCTGCAGGCAACTCCACTTCACGCAATCTTCCAAGCGACTGGAGGTGTGCAAGACGCAGTTGTTGCAGGAAGGGCAAGCTGTCGTAGGGCCAGTGTTGCTGGTGGCATTCATCACGCGGACAATATCTGCTTACGTCCTTCAAGATCTGGCCAGCCTCCAAACGCACGTCTTTCGTCTCTGTAGAAAGGTTCCTCTACTGAACTTAGAACCCTAGCAAGAAATCATAATTGTAGCTGTTTCTTAGGGATTATAATAACCAAAAATTAAAAAATATTTCCAAGTACCTCTAAGGTTCATGGCTTTCACCCCAAGAAGGCGCTGCAAATATTTGGCTTGGGCCCCAAAAAGGAACGGTCTCCCCCAGCAGTCTCGATTCGGAAGCTGGTGGCGCCACCTTGGGCTTCGAATTAACTTGGGTTTCTTGGAAGGGCAAGGGACTTAGTAAGTAGGTTTTAAGTAGGGTTATAATTGAGGTAACTCCATTTAGGGTACTTATAGCTCTACTTATAACCTACTTACTAAGTCCCCTGCCCTTCCAACTAGGGTGTTTTAGTGTAGGGCGCTGTGGTTTAGGGTTTATACGTTTTTAGGGGATATATACCTCTCCACCTGGCGTTGCAGCACCGAACAAAGGTCGCAGGGCTCTCCGGAGGGAAGCACTGCTCGAAGGGAAAGACGAAGGGATTCGAGTGTAGGTCGCTCAGGAACCTTTCGGCTGACGGATTTGGGAGTTTCCGACAATAGGGGACCTTCATCTAGTACCCTAAATAGTCGGATCCCTAGTGTAAGGATCCCAAAAGAAGGCATCCCTACTTTTTGCAAACTCCCTTTTGGTGTATCTTAGAAAGCCAACAAGAGGGCCCAGTGGAACAGCAATATATACTTCAAGGAAGACGTTCAGCTGCCAGCTTCTAGACAATTCCCGACACCCGATGCCCCACCAAGCGCGCGAAATAGGACAAAGCAGGTAGTAAACTACCGGAGCGCTCTTTGTTAGAATCGGTGGATTGGGTGTTCTACTATATGACAAACATTCGAATTGCAATAGTGAGAAAAATGAGAATATCAAGTTGTAATGCTAGGAATAACAATACAGAGCCCTCGAATAGTATAAGATAATGTAGGTGCATATTCATGAGGCTTCGACATTCTTCCCAAAACCGGGGCACTCCATAGGCTCGGGCTGCCAGCCAACGGAGTCAACTGAGCCCTGACGAACTGTAGACCATGGGATGGTCACGGCCATCAGATGCCGTAGCCTTAGTCGCCCTTGCAACCGAAATAAACATAATGTTCTCATTAATTATCAATCTCCTGTATAATCTGATAAGAAAACTAAAACATAATTTCTAAGAGCAGTAAAGATGCCGATGGAGGAGCCCGAAGACCAGCCAAACCTTAGGAAGACTCATAGGACTCTATGCGCCACCTCCGGAATAGGCTCAGCTGCAACTCGAGGTCCATGAATGTCCGGTGATCTACCTTACCCTTGTGGATCATGGCAGCAGCACGTGACATGCTTTCGTGAATTTGGGGCTTTCCATTTATGAGTATGAGAATTTCGACTGAAACCTTTACAAACACACTTCGGCGTGTGTCAGATACACGGCTAGCCCGGGCCCAACTCGACTGGGCCACAAGACAAGGGTCCCACTGCGTAGCAGCAAGGGCGCACCGAGCATCCCTGCTCTATTTGTTGGTGAAATTGCTTGGCATTGTATGAAAAGCTTGCTTCTCAAACTATGGACTTTAGCTTTTCATTGGCTCTCCTATAGGCACGAAGCCCACCTTACACTCCCGGAGAGTAGTCCTAGTCATTTGCAAAACCAGCTAACCCCGATCACAGTGCAGCACCTTGAGTCTGAACATACCTGTACTGAAACCCAGTTTAGAGTTTAGGGTTTAGGGTTTAGGGACTGACCAACATAGTCTTAATCCCCAACGGTTAAGCCCTCAAGCTCAAATCCCGAAAGCCACAAAACCGTACGCCAATCAACCCAGAGCCCCATCAGCTCCAAAGCACCGAACCCTGAACCCCGGGCCGTGTATACCCCATAGCCTAAACCCTGAACTATAAACCATACGCCATGTAATATCCTAAACCCTAAACCACAAACCCTAAATTATAAACCCTGAATCATAGAATACCCTAAACCCTAAACCCCAATCCCGAAATTATGAACCCTAAACCCCTCAACCCTGAAATTATAAACCCAAGATGATAAACCCTAAACTATAAACCCGAAATCAGCCCAATAAGTTATAAACCCTAAACTCTAACCCCCAAACCCTAAATTAGAAATCCTGAACTATAAACCTAAACTAGCCCATTATAAACCCAAGATGATAAACCCTAAACTATATAAGCCCTAAATTAGCCCAGTGAAAGAGTTATAAACCCTAAACTCTAAACCGTACCCCCAAACCCTAAAATATAAACCCTAAACTATATAAACCCTAAATTCGCCCAATAAAAGGATAGTCCAAAGGCGGCCTCCGTGAGAGGCTCGGCCTGCAACCGCTGCCATGGCAGAGCGCTGTGCCGGGGCGGGCCGCCTTAGGTTTAGGGTTTAGGATTTAGGGTTGAAGGTATCTCTGGACCAAATATGAAAACTATAAAGTAATCCAAATAAAAGATGATAGAATATAAGAAAATAATTCTATGAGAAGTGAACTCCAGTTTAACAATAAATGTTAAATCCTGTAAAGATAAATAGAATTATAATAAGAGCAAAGATTAATAACCAAGAACTATTAATAAGAAAACAAAATGAATCTGATGTAACTTCTAAATGTTTAGATTTCCAAAATACCAAGCAAAAGACCCAAATTACTTTAAACAAAGCGTGCATGCGTTCATTCTTCTCTGTTTTACCTTTGTTTAAATTAATTTGTTCTTTTGAGCCATTGGGATTTATTACTGACATTAGTTGATCTAGAACATACACGAATCTAGGTATTCGGAAACAAGTAAATCCCAATGGCCTAAATTCTCTAATAATAACCTGTGGTAATCCTTTGTGCTAATTTTAAAGGGAGAAAAAACAAATGAAAGTACATTTGGTTTACAGGTTTAGGGTTCAGGGTTTACCAAGTTGAAGCGTCGGGTGGTGGTTTATAGGAATTCAGGGGTTTTGGGTTTTGGGTTTATAGGGTTTAGGATTTAGGGTTTAAGGTTTACGACTTGAGCCTTTCCTTACCTTTGGATAGTAGGGAATGGAAGATTGGTAGTAATAGCAGTTATAATTGTACCCCATTCCTCCATTCCCTACTAACCAAAGGTAAGTTTATTTATAGGTATTCAGGGGTTTAGGGTTTAAGGTTTAGGGTTTAGGATTTAGGGTTTATGGTTTAAGGTCTAAGAGTTTAGGATTTGAGGTTTAGGGTGCCCTAAGGGTCCAAAGGACCCAATGATAAGGTACTTGGGTTTAGGATAGTAGTTATGCAGCTTTACATTTGGGAGAGTATATGATTATCAGGTACTTGGACCCTCAGGGTTGGTTGATAGGAATTCAGGGGCTTAGGGTTTAGGGTTTTTGGTGTAGGGTTTAGGCGCATTTGGGGTTTACGGGTTTTTTTGTCTAAGAGTTTAGGCTTTAGAGGTTCAGGGTTTAGGGCTTAGGACTTGGGTATTCGCATTTCAACTGAGGGTTGGGTTGGGGGTTTAAGTGGGGACTCCTCTTAGAGTTTTCTCACTGGAGGGATATTGGCCTTGGCCCAAACCCCCTCGCTCAATCCGAAACCCAAACTCTATAGGCTTCCGTTTTCCGATTTGCTGGGTGGGTGGTTGTCAAAGTTATGGTCCCTTTTTGGGTACCCTAAAGATTAGGTGCCGTACTATATTCGGGGCCCCAAAAAGGGACCATAATTTTGACAACCACCCTGGTAGCTAAACCCCTCAACCATCGAGAGAGGGGTTTTGATGTTCGAGGTCTCATCAGAGGTCCACGGTAAGAGTCTCACTTGGCACCTTTGGCCGAGGTCTTCCCTAAACCCGAAACTCTAAACCCTAAAACCCTGAACCCTAAACCTTGAGCACTTGAACCCTAAACCCTAAACCCTCAAGAAAGGTCTGGCACCTTCCAACCGCTGGCACTGCAAGGTTCGGATTTCCCTGCAAGGTGCTACAGATACCCCCCCCCCCCCCCAGAGACTCCAATATCCCTTAGTTAAGGGATATCCCTTAAATCATAATGGGATCCCTAATATGATTTAAGGCATATTCCTTAATTAAGGGATATTGGAGTCTCTGGGCCACGGCCCCAAACCCCGAACCCCAAACCCCAAATCCAAACCACTAAATCTAAAACCCGAAACCCAAACCTACGATTCACCGCATTCAGCCCCTCTCGCCTCCAACAGCTGCCTGCGCTACAGCAGCCGCCGCACAGCGCACCTAAGAAGTGAGAAGCGAAGATAATTTGCCATATCTGTGTTCTGGCAAAAAAGAGTACAGGGTACAGTACTTGCTTCAGGGTTTATGGTTTTTGGCTTCGGGGCAGGTTGTTTAGGGTTTAGGGAAGCTTAGGGGTTGCTGGAATTATATGATTTGAACTTATAAAAAACAATTGTTGTTATAACAACAATTCACAAACAGCCAAGTGTTTTTGTAAAAACAATTCACAAACAGCAGGGTTCGTGTATGTAGCTGTGGTGGGCAAAGTGTACACAAAGCCTTGCATTTCCGAAAGCTCGTGAAGTGGAAGACGCTCAGCCAAGATATGCCCAAGCAGGCTAAGGTGACTTCACTAGGAGTAACAAGTTCAAGCGATCAATCTTGATGTGACGTTGTTGAAAGGCTTTTGGGCACGTGTGGTATTGGGTGTACATGCAGCGTGCTTCGAAGTATTCCTTGCAGATGTGGGTGATTGGGTACTGTAGGGGCCTTAATTAGAATACGGTTTTGGGGCCCATTGTACTACAAGTGTGATAAGCACTCCACAATAGTATTGACAATTACTTACGCGACTATATCATGGGCAGGTGCTAGAGCCTACCTTCAACATGTTTCCTGCGAACGTGGGCAGGTGCTGGAGTCTGCTAGAGTCTACTTTCAGCATGGTTCCTCCGAACAACAGCTCAGGCATAACACTCGCTTTATGGCCACAGTCTCTTTTTATACTGAACGGATACCACCGTAAAATCTGCCCGCAACCGTACCATGTCTGCTGCCGCAGCACATCGCTGAGCTCGGAGAGAAGCACCCGCAGCTGAGTCTGGCATCAAAACGGGAGTTTCAGAAAATGAGGCACCTTGCGTAATCTATATAGTAACCCCCGAATAGTACGATCCTAATCATAAGGGCCCCAAGTAAGGTATCCCTACTTTAGGGTTTTAGGATGACGCCGATTGCATCGAGCTAGGTGTTTTTTCATGTTTGTGGTCTTGCGCTTGCCACTATCTGTCAAGCTGACAGCTACCTTCGAACAGTAGGATCAACCTTTCTCTGAGTACTATAAGGGACTATCTTCACCCTGAACCATGATCCAGTACCTTGAACCTTGTTGGAGTCCGACAGATTTATGACAGTTTTAGTCTGGACAACCACAGCTGTGACCCACAGCTACAATCGGGTTTGAGGTTCAGGCGCTGGGTCCTGTAGTGAGTCTAAGGAATGTAGGGCTATAGGATGCATGGATGGATTGGCGGATGAAAGGATGAAAGGATAGATTCATGGACGGACAGATTTCATATGCAGATACAGGGAAAACAATAACCCGATGCATCGTGAAGTCGTTCAAAAAAGGACCCTTCGCAGTTGCAGATAGGTTCGCCTCCGATGTGGCAACTTACGCAGGTACATGGCGAAGGTTGTGCAGTGACACTCTTTTCAGGTCCAGCTGCCGCTAGCTCGTAGCTCCTGGTGTCTGCGAACCTGACTCCTGGATTCTTCCTCGTCGGAGCCTCCATGACGTCTGCCACCGGTTGATGTTGACATAGGTGTCTGCGGAAAGGTTCGATCCGAAGGAACGGAGCCGGATGCGCGCAGAGCGGACCATTCGGAGAGACTCCCAGTTCTCAAAGGACTCAGCACGAAGGGTCAAAGGGCAGAGTTAGCTGCCCGCCACCTCCACCTTGATGCACTCACCTGAGTTTAGGGCGGCGGCAAGCATCACGACTATGATAGCTTTTTCAGATGTTGTGAGCTGGCTGACCGTTGATGCTCTAGTGGAAAGGTATTGTGTAGCAACCCGCATAATACCTCTTATAGTGCCCCATACAGTAGCCCTGAAAGAACCCCTTCCAGTGGCCAGACACGCATAGAAGGGGACTACAAAATACAAGGGATACGATACAGTTACGTGCTATTGCTAGCTGTTCAGACCTCTATGTTTCCACAATCTGTACATGTCTTCATGATCCCTACGGCTTACGGACTACTGCTGCTATTTGTTCAGACCTCTACATGTCCAGAATCTGTACATGTCCTCTACATGATCCCTACGGCTTACGTGCTACTGCTGCTACAGCAGTTATTCAGACCTCCAGATTTCCACAATCTGTACATTTCTCCATGATCCCTACGGCAAGTAGTTTGCGGTAGTTTGAAAGACTACAGTCTCGATTTCGTGCAGGCATGCAGCCGAGAACATGTTCGAAGTTAGCACCGCTCATGGAAAGGCACAAACTCGTGCTTCCGCCATTGACATACACGGTCTCCAAACTGAAAATCGAACTCTCAATGTAGATCTGCAGCTGCGTTTTGCTTCCGAAAGCAGTGGTGCCTCCGAAGACATAGCCAGTAAAAGAAGTCGCACGCTCAGGCTTCGTTGGTTTCACGTGATCGCGCTTCACACCTGCAGCCATAGCCAACCGCTTGGTATCGACCTTCTTGTTCCCGTGCTGAAGCACAAAGATAGGTTGCTGCGAAGCAGCTTTGTCGATGTCGAACACCATGGTTTTCACCATCGATGAATCATCGTTGAGCCCCACTTGTCTTGCGAAAGACTGTGTGACGGATTCTCCTTCACGCATGTCTTCTTTCGACACAGCGTGTCGCTGGAACGGCACCGACATGCTTTCCAAGAATAGGGTTGCAGGCGTCTGCCCCGGAATCGACCTTGGCATGCAAACACATCTACAACGTCAGAATCCGCAAAAAAGGCCAACGATACAAGAGCCCCGATTCCCCAAAACCCCCTTAAACCCACAACTGAAAGCCGGCAAGCGGCACAGGGTCGGGGCTGCTACCGGGACCTTGCACTCCGTCCGCGTGGGTGCTAAGGCCTCGCTGAAGCCGCGCGGCGGGGCCGCAAAGCACCGCGGGATTCGACTGCACTACTTGCAGCCCCAGGTTTTGAAGAGCTCCAAGACTGCCATGGCTCACCATGCCGCAGCGTGCTAAGGGGCGGGCTGCCCGAAACATGGCCGAAGAACATGTGATCTGAGCCCTTGCTGCGCCGCTTGAATTTCGTCCCGCCGCAGAACAAGACCCCAACCCGGTAACTGTTTCCTCTCTTAGAAGAACCACGAAACATGAAGGACAAGCCTAATAATTCGAATAGGGTTTTGGGGCCCCTTATACTATAATACTATAATCATAATAAGGAACCACCAAAATAGTTTTGGCAATTGTTTAGACACGTATACGATAATACCCTAATATATCCCTGATAGTAACCCTTATAGACCCCTTTTAAAGGCACCCTATTTAGGCCCCTATATACATTATGCCAGGCCCTGTGGTTTCCCTTCAGAAGTCTCTGGAGCCCTGCAGCGAAACCTGCAGCACGGGCTCAGCCGAAGCTTCGCAAGTTTGCGACTCCTGGGGTAGGGTTTGGGGCTTTTAGGCTTTCTAGGGCTATTAGGGTTTAGGGTTGGGTACGGCCCCCACTCAGTAATGGCTGAAGATATATTAGCCGATTATAGACTCTAACTGTATGCGGGCAGTACCTAAGTTTGGGGTTTCTGTCACTGTGAAGGCTCGTAGGCTTCCAGGGTGATAGCTTCCCGAAGTTCTCAAAAAGCAACCCAAAGGGTTCAAAGTACCTGTATAGTAGAATGTACGGTTTCTATATTAGGAATTTCTATTATGACTTATGATTTGGGGGAAGTATTCCCCATAACGATACCTCGGACCGTTTGGGCACTAGCTGCTAAGATCCTGTAGTTCGGAGGATTCAATGGCAAGCCCCGAACCTTCACACCTAGATCGTGCAACCTCTGCGTGTGGGCTGAGGTAAAAGCAATCAGGCACGTGGGTGCATGCATATATATATATATATATATACAGGGAGCGAAGGCGCAAGGAGACAGTTCCGAGTGGAAATATGTCGAAAGGACCCCTCGTGAAGCTTTGAAGCTGAGGGTTTGTGCGTTTGTAAGAGTTTCTGGCCCTTGAGGCATGGAGGAAGTCCTTTTTGTTCCGAGATGTGCATGTCTGTAGGTTAGTCTGGACATCGTCGGACCAGCATCATCAATCAATCTGCAACTGAACGAAGACCCACGACCTAAACGGGGGCCTGGAGTACCCGTGCCACCTCCGCACGAATGGCAGTGAGCCTTCCGTGCAAGGCAGCCACCTCGCACCAACTGTCGCAGAGGCTAACTAGGGCTTGGGGGTTATCAGGTCTTTGTTATATGCTGCAAGCACCTACATCTACATAAGACTACATCCTATGTATATGTATACGTATAGGGTTTAAAGTTCGTGGTTTTGTGGGGTTTCAGGGTTTTGGGATTGTCTCGGATGATAAGGGGCGCCAGCAGAGATCCCATACATCGGGATGAGGACGCCTAATTTTGGATCACTCATGAAAAGATCTTGCAGACCCGCTCGAAAAGCAGTGAACCAGCGAACCATGGAATTTAAGCACATCTGCGTTTCAAGCGGGACGTTGCGAGCCGCTTGCTATCTGTCGCAACCCAAGTTTGACAAAACTAAAGACAACTCTCCGCTTTTGGTGCGGGGAATTACATCACAACAACTGCTTTGGAGTCTTTGTCAGACTGCAAGATGTCTGTACTTCCACAGCAGGCTATCAGAAGTAACTGTTTTCGAAGATATTAGATGTGTACTGTAGCTGCCAAGCAGCAGTGCAGAACTCACGAATGCGAAACCCTCGTCCCACCTCCGGGGCAAGACCAGAAGTGTGCACCGGGTTGGCGCAAAGGTTCTGCCTGATGCAAGGGAATACGGCTCAACGACTCTAGGCTAAGTGTGTGCGAATGTAGGGTATAGGGTTTAGGGGGGTTTGGGTTCCAGGATTTTGAATTGTAGGTCCGGGGCCACAAACCGTTTTCGTGTCCAGCAACAGATGCCAAGTTAGACTCAGGTAAATAGGGACAGCCCAGAGACTCCAATATCGCTCAATTAAGGAAACTCTTTAAATCATAGTAGGGCTCCGACTATAATTTAAGGTTTAGGGACATTGGAGTCTCTGGGAGAACATATCATCATGCCTGCATCCCAAGACTGCATGTCTCCTACCTAGTCTTCTGGACATATCCCTGAAACCTAAACTTGAACCATGAATGAACCAAAACTCTCAACTAAGAAAAGCCTGAATCACCCTGAAGCACCTGCGACTAAGCCCGAAGAGTCTGAACCCCCGAAACCCTATGTAAACCCCGAAGCCTAAAGCCCCAAACTCAACCCCTAAACCCCTAAACTCTCAACCCCTAAACCCACCCTCAAACTTTACCAAGCCCCTAAACTCCTAAACCTCTAAACCCAATAACCTGAAACCCCTAAACCTATAAACCCCTAAACCCCTTCAAGGGCGGGCGGGGGGGGGGGGGGGGGGGGGTGGGGATTCCTTAATATGAACCCTAGTATGGGAACCCTAATCCCTACTAAACCCCCACAGGCTAAAACCCCTTTTGGCCTCCTATGATACCCTTGTAGATCCCTTTAAAGGAACCCCTATAGATCCCTTTAAAGGAACCCTAGGGATCCCTAACCCCCATATGCTGGGGAGCCTCAAGGAGTCTAGCTGCTCGAGAGCCCCGGAGAGCTCAGATGATCGGTTCAGCCGAGCCTGTGGAAGATTTGTCTCAGGAAGACTCGAGGGGTTAAGGTTTAGGGCCTGCATATATGTATACATTTGTATATATATATATATATATGTATAATTATATATATATATATATAGATAAATACGCCAAATCAACGAACAGGTGTGTGTGTGTGTGTTTGTGTGCGCGCGTGTGTCTCTGTAACTACAAATACACAAATATGTTCGTATACATGTTTCAATATACACAGGTGATGCACCAAGTGAATACATACATAAGTATATATATATACATATATGTATATATATATATATATGTACATAATGCGTGTATGTATGTATGTATGTATGTACGTATGTATGTATGTATGTATGTGTGTATATATGTAGGTAGGTAGGTATGTATGCGCGTGTATGTGTATGTAAGTGTGCATGTGGCTATGTGTATACCATTCTGCATTCCATATTTATATGTAGACATCTAAGACTAATGTTGTTTTTGACTACCAGCTGTCCATCCTAGTCAGCATATAGCTATATAGCCATATGTAGTTATGAAGAAGCAACACGCATGTGTGCGTGTGTGCTTGTTCTCACTCGACTGCCCTGAGGCTGTGCTAGTTAGGTTGTACTGCGCTAGGATTCCTGCCTCACACGTCCTAAGCTTAACATCGTGCATCTACAGGCACATGAATTTTGATCAAGAGCTGTTTACCAAGGCTTCCATGGGAGCAGTACGCCGTCGCTGACCTTTGAGGGTACATTGGTTAGCTTCCATCAGAGCACCAAGTGAGCGCCAGGAAAGCAACTCTGTCCAAGTCTTAGTTCTTAAACGAAGCACTCAAGCCCAAATCTACGTTCGTTTGCAGGCAAACGTATGTAAGTCCTAAGCATTCATCCCTGCAGTCTGACATCGCTTCTGAGGTTGTGGCTGGTGGCCGTGCCCGCGGCCACTGGCTTGCATTTTCCGGGGGGAACAGGCCTCCAAAAGAACAAGCAAACAACAACTGTGTAAAGCTTGCTGCAAGATGCTGCAAGTGGGCACCATTGTAAAAGTCGGCAGGGCCGTATTTGGCCTTTTGGCACACATTCTGCACGCGCTGCTGGGTTCACTACTCACTCCGGGACTCACTTGCTAAACGGACTTGTGAGTTGGACCCCCTAAACTTCCTAAACCTTGTTACACACCCTTACAACCCTACAAAGTCTCACAGTTTGGTAGAAGCTGCCTGGGCTGTGAAGGTGGCTGCGGCCAAAGCCGTTGGCTGGTTGTGCCTCTGACATCAAGCACCCCGATACGGTTTCGGCTTTCGGTTTGGGTTCAGAGCTTTCGTTGCTCGGAGTACCGGGCCTTCTCCAGTTTGTCTTCTGTCTTCTGCCCATCCCTCATTCGCAAGTGCGCTCCCTTCGCAAGTTGAAGCCGGAGAGGACGAACGAGGTTTCCAGTTTCAGGCTTTGAGGAGACGGTAGATTACGGTCGCCTCAACACAAGCTATCCCGAAGTCTGCAACCAAAATATGTTACAATGCAAGATAAAGTCGCCAAAAGTTGTCATCGACTAGCTCGCGGGAATCAACAGTCAGGTTAGCAGCACTGACGACACGACACATGCAAGCCAAGCATGGATCATGGGGTGCTACACTAGTGCGGCCCTTCAAGCAGCGTGTTAACAGCGTCAACACATCCGAGTACTAGAGGGTTTGACTTGGAACTTTGAGCTCAGACAATGTCTTGATCACGAAGACCTACACCCCAAGCCCCAAGCCTGAGCCCAACACCCTGGACTTTGCAACTTTGCAATCTTAAACCTCTTTTGTTGTTGTTCATGCTGTTTTCATAGCTTTGCAGACAAGGCACTGCACTCGTAGGTAACGGCTCAGCTGGCCTCCCCGTGCATCGGATTCAAAAGCTTTCGGATCTTTGGCTTGCAGCAAAAGCAGGCTCTGAGTGCAAGAGTTGGTGAGATGTGTTGGGCCTAGCCTTCTACGGTCTCGGAGGATGCATTGTCGCATTAAAGTCGCAGCAAAAGCACTCACAGGGATTCGGAACTGAACCCTAACCTCCTCTAAGCTCACTCCAGCTTAGACCTTATAAACCCAAGCTCCTCATGCATGAAATGGGGGCCTACATCGACGGCCGTGCTTGCTCGAAATGCCCTGTCCACTCTAAGCAACCTTCCGGTCATGCAGGGTTTCGGCTTTATACCCATAGACCCCAAAAGTAGTTCCTTTTGGGGATTACCTTGTAGAATTCTAAATATGAAGCCCTAAAAGGAACTACTATGGGGCCTATGGATAGTTTATCTTAGCTAGTCTCAGTTGCTGAGTTCATAACCCCAAGCGTGCACACTTTCAGTTTTATAAGGGATATGTTG